CCCTCCCAGTGCTGGGGATAGAACCCAGGAGTCCTGGCTCCCAGCCCCCCTGCTCTAAGCCACTAGACCCCACTCCCCTCCCAGAGCCAGGGAGAGAACCCAGGAGTCCTGAGTCCCGGCCCCACCTTTTCTAACACTGGAGTGGGGGTGTGCATAGGGGGCAGCAGCCAGGACTCCTGGGTCCCTCTCAGCAGGCTGCTGCCCCAGCACTGGGCACGCCCAGAGGAGTCAGGCCCCCAAGCCAGCCTGTGGGTCAGGTGAAGCGCGAGGGCATTGGAGCGTACCTGTAACCAGGGACTCCTCCTCAAGTGGGCGGGGGTCTCCAGTGGGGTCCCGCGGGGATCGGGTCGTGCCCTGCGCATGCGCTAGTTACCGGGAACATCAAACCCTTCCAGCTAATGTCAGCAGAGGGCCCAGAAATCAGGAAATCCCGAGGGGGCCGGGGCAGGGACCCAGAGCGCGCGGGCAAACGCCGGGCGTTTTAACACGTCCGCAAGTCCCCGCCCGCGGCGAGGAACCACAACCGTCAGCCGGGGGCTCTCCCCTGGGGGGCGGCGACTCCAGAACAGATCTGGGGCGATGGCAGAGAATCGGCTGGACTGGGGCTAACGCCGTCCTGGGATCTCGAGGAGGAGCAGGGAGGGGATTTTCCCTCTGGAGCTGACCTGGGGGTGACGCTGCCGAGCCCTGGGTCTGGCTCCGGGGCACAGAGTCAGTTGGGGAGGGGTCAGAGCAGAGCCCCGAGGACGATTCGAGGGTTCAAAGCCCTGTCGCCGAGCGAGCGATGCCAGGAGCTCCAGCTATTGTGCTGAGCCCAGGACACGCTCCAGGGCGCAGTGATCCCCGTCCGTCCATCCCTATGCAGGGAGCAGAGAGTTGATCGGGGCTGGTCAGTTTTTACTGGGGTGGGGGGAATTAATCATTGGGACCATGCACCAGGGCCATGGGGGATCCTCCATCCCCGGCAGATTTTCAGTTCAGACTGGGGGTTTTCCTAAAAGAACGGCTCCGGAGATGGTTTGGGGGGCAGCCTCTGGCCTGGGCTATCGGGCGGTCAGGCTAGACAGCCACAGGGGTCCCTGCTGGCCGGGAATCTGGGAATGACTGAAATCAGGCAAATACCCGCAGGGCAGCTAGAGACCAGCCCAATTGGCTCAGGGGGTGAATGGAGCAAGAGGGCTACTGTATAACGGGGTATGGCGGAAGAGCCAGGACTCCTGGATTCTCTCCCCGGTTCTGGGAGGGGAGTGGGGTCTAGTGGGTTAGAGCAGGGGGGTCCGGGAGCCAGGACTCCTGGGTTCTCTCCCCAGCTCTGTCTCTGACTCTCCGTGTGACCTCCAGAAAGTCCTTTCACCTCAGTTTCCTCTAGTACAAGTCGGGGTCGATGCTACTGAAGCTGGGGGGAGGAAGAGTTGGGAGACTCCCGTAGCCGCGGCTCAGGAGGGGCTGCGTGGCTCTCCAAAGGACAGGGCCCTGTAGCACAAACCCGGGGTTAGTGTCCCCGCCCCCCCCCCGCCCCCGGGGACTGGCTCTGTGTGCCGCAGGAACAGAAATCTGCTGAGACAAGAGGTCCGGGGGCTGTCTGGGGGGGCGGAATAGCAGGGGCTGCGGGTCGGGAGTGAGTGGCACCCACACAGCGGGGGGAGAAGGGGGGCTGGGATAGGAGGGGCTGCAGGTTGAGAGTGGGGGGCACTGGCAGAGGTGGGGGGGATAGGAGGGGCGGCAGGTCGGGAGTGGGGGGCACTGCCAGAGGTGGGGGGGATAGGAGGGGCTGCGTGTCAGCAGTAGGGTTGCCAACTTTCTGACTGCACAAAACCGAACACACTAGCCCTGTCCCCTTCCCTGCCCCTTCCCCGAGGCCCCGCCCCCCACGCACTCCATCCCCCCTCCCTCCTTCGCTTGCTCTCCCCCAGGCCCCACCCTCCCTCACTTTCACTGGGCTGGGGCAGGGGGTTGTGCTGCAGGCTCCAGCTGGGGGTGTGGGCTCTAGGGTGGGGCCGGGGATGAGGGGTTTGAGGTTCAGGAGGGGGCTCTGGGCTGGGGCAGAGGGAGGGGGTGCAGGGTGCAGGCCAGGGCTCAGGGCTGGGGTTGGGGTGTGGGAAGGGATGCGGGAGGGAATGCGGGCCCCAGGAGGGAGTTAGGGTGCGGGAGGGGGCTCAGGGCTGGGGGTGGGGTGTGCGGGGGGTGCAGGTTTCAGGAGGGAGTTAGGGTGCAGGAGGGGGCTCAGGGCTGGGGGTGGGGTGTGTGGGGGGTGCAGGTTGCAGGAGGGAGTTAGGGTGTGGGAGGGGGCTCAGGACTGGGGGTGGGGGGGGGGGGGGGGCAGGGTGCAGGAGGGAGTTAGGGTGCTGGAGGGGGTTCCCACCTGGGGCAGGAGTTTGGGGTGCAGGATCCGGCCGGGCGGCACTTACCTCAGGCAGCGCAGCTGGGTTAAGCCAGGCTCCCTGCCTGCCCCGGCTCCGCGCTGCTCCGGGAAGAGGCCGCTATGTCCGGCTCCTAGGCACAGGGGCGGCCAGGCGGCCCTGTGCGGTCTGCACTGCCCACTCCCGCAGGCACCTCCCCCGCAGCTCCCGTTGGACGTGGTTCCTGCAGGCACTGCCCCCGCAGATCCCATTGGCCGCAGTTCCCGGCCAATGGGAGCTGCAGAGCCGGCGTTCGGGGCAGGGGCAGCGCACGGAGCCTCTCTGGCAGCCCCTGCGCCTAGGAGCCGGATATGGAGGTCGCTTCCGGGAGCTGTGCAGCGCTGGGGCAGGCAGGGAGAAAACCGGACGCCTGGCAGTCCTAGTTGGGAGTGAGGGGCACCGGCCGGGCCACGTGCTAAAGCGGTCACTTCTCCTCAGCTTTCCGGCAACGCCACCTCACCCGTGGCCAACAACAGCACCACGCCCACCTCCAACGTCCTCGCCCAGATCTCGGTGGCCATCTTCGTGGTCTCCTCCCTGCTGGGCATGGCAGGCAACGGGCTGGTGATCTGGGTCACCTGCTTCCGCATGCGCCGGACGATCAACTCGATCTGGTTCCTGAGCCTGGCGCTGGCCGACCTGCTCTACTCCCTGCTGCTGCCTTTCTACGCCGCCAAGACCGCCGCGGGCAATCAGTGGGCCTTCGGCAACTTCCTCTGCAAAGCCGTCAACTCCCTCCTCTTCCTCAGCATGTTCGCCAGCGTCTTCCAGCTGACGCTCATCTCGGCCGATCGCTGCCTGCTGGTGGCCCGGCCCGTCTGGGCCCAGCGGTTCCGCACCCCGCGCTTGGCCTGGGGGGCGGCCGCCGTGGCGTGGCTGCTGGCCGGGGCTTTCTCGGCCCCCTACCTGGTCTTCCGGCAGGTGACCTGCCGGGGCGAGCGCTGCTTCTGCATCAACAATTTCGGGGATGAGGCGACGAGGGTGGTGCGGCAGCAGGCCCTGATCGTGGTGCGGTTCGTGGCCGGCTTTCTGGCGCCGCTGCTGGTCATCACGGCCTGCCACGTGGTCGTGATGCTGCGGGCCGGGCACCGGGGCCGCCGGCCCAACCGTACGGCCAAGGTGGTAGCTGCCGTGGTGTTGAGTTTCTTCCTCTGCTGGCTGCCCTACCACGTCTTCAACTTCCTGCACAGGTCGCCGAGAAACCGTGCGGCCTTCCAGGTGGGCTCCTCCCTGGCCTTCAGCCTCACCTGCCTGGGCTGCTTCCTCAACCCCCTGCTCTACGCCTTCCTGGGCCGCCGCTTCCAGGAGGGGCTGCGGGGCAGCAGCCGCGCCCGCTGGCTGGAGGCCGCCATGGCCGAAGACTCGCTGGGCTCCGGCAGCGGGCGCCGGAGCAACCGCTCGCTGGGCTCCACCACCTCCTCTGAGCTGCGGATGATGCAGCCGTGACGGGCAGGGGGAAGGGGCCAGGGCCCCATGAGGGGTGGGGGGCAGCTGTGGGATGGCACCGAGCAGGGCATGCTGGGAGCCCAGAGCTGCACCAGATCAGTGCATCCTGGAAGCCCAGGGCCGTGCTGGAGCAGTGCATGCTGGGAGCCCATGGGACATGGCGGAGCAATGCATGCTGGGATCCCATGGGCCACACTGGAGCAGTGCATGCTGGGACCCCAGAGCCTCGCCAGAGCAGTGCATGCTGGGAGCCCATGAACCATGCCAGAGCAGTGCATGCCGGGACTTTACGGGTCACACTGCAGAGGAGCATGCTGGGAACTCTTGCCCTCATTGGCCACACCGGAGCAATAACAGGCCACGCCCCTTTTCCATGCTGCAGGAACTCAGTGATACTCACTGGCCACCACCCCACAGGGTGGGCGGGGCTGTTACAAGGTTGTGGCCATGGTGGTTGCCATGGATACCACCACCTGGCCACCATTTTGGGGCCTGATTTTCAGACTGGGGTGGAGTGATTCCTAAAACCAGGCTCTTTTTATACAGAAGGCTCAGATCTACTTTTTTTACATTGACCACCCCATTGGTTGGTGTATCCTTCCACCAATTAATGTAGTCTGTCCAAAAAAAAAAGAATTCTGGGAACCCAGCCCACTTTACACAGGAGCCGGCTCCATTTTCAAAGGACAGCTACCGAGTATCCTTCCACCACAAAAGTAGTCCCTCAAAACTGGACCCTTTTTATACAGGAACCGGATCTATTTTCAATATATACTGATTGTGTGTCCTTCTGCCAAAAAAATAGTCCCTCAAAAAAATAATAGCTGAAAACCAGGCCCTTTTCGTACAGAAGCCCTGTGACGTTCCTCCATTACTTGTGTGTGTCCTTCCGCCAAACAACAAAAGGTAAAATAGCCCCTTAAAAATCTGAAAATCAAGCTCCATCATATTCAGGTAGCGGGACTACTTCCTTTGTCATCTTCTTGCACTCTGTTTTGTGGCCTTCCACCACAAAATATAGTCCCTGAAACACACATGGGAAAGTTGTGCCCTTTAAATACAAGGGCTGGGCCTTATTACGCCCCCTTCTGTCTTCTTCCACTCAAAAGAAGTAGTCCAGTCCACCGAACAAGTAGAGATCGTCCCCTTATCTCCTTTGTATCCTATCCCCGGCAGATGAACGCCAGCAAAAATAGTCCCTCCAATAAGCATCCTGAAAGTCATGCTCTGTGTTACAGGCCAGAACTTCCCTGCCCTCTCCCTGAGCTTTGTATCCTTCCGCCGTCTCGGCAATAGCCTCTCCCAAAAAAGGCGAATAAAGCTGCGAAAGTGGCTTGGGTTTCTATGAAAGACCAAAGGCGGCGGGTGTGACTTTAGCACTGGGGGGCGGCACCTGGATGGAACAGCCAGTGGGGTAGAGCTCTGCAAGCCCCACCCCTGGGCGGAGTCCTGCCACTTAGTGGGCAGGGCTTGGTAAGCTCCTCCCATGGGCGGCACCATGTCTTTTAGTGGGCGGGGCTGTGGCTCTGGCGCTCCCAGTGGCCATCTGGGGTGTTTGTTACAGAGAAAAGAACAGGCGAGACTCGTCCACCATCACATGGTGAATCAGTGAGACAGCTGGGGATAGAACCCAGGAGTCCTGGCTCCCAGGCCCCCCCTGCTCTAACCACTAGACCCCACTCCCCTCTCAGAGCTGGGGATAGAACCCAGGAGTCCTGGCTCCCAGACCCTCCCTGCTCTAACCACCAGACCCCACTCCCCTCCCAAAGCTGGGAAGAGAACCCAGGAGTCCTGGCTCCCAGCCCCCCCCCCCGCTCTAACCACTAGACCCCATTCCCCTCTCAGAGCTGGGAACAGAACCCAGGAGTCCTGGCTCCCAGCCCGCCACTCTGACTCACTAGCCCTACTCCCCTCCCAGAGCTGGCAAAGGGAGCCAGGGGTCTCTTTCCCTGGGCATAGCGGATAGGCTGGGCACCGGTTTCAGATCTGGAAAGGGGAAGCCGAAGTCCCTGCTCTGGGGCCAGGGGAGTTTTTCACCAGAGGATGAAGCAACCCGCCTGCCCATCCCACCGGTTGGGGAGGAAGCGAAAGCCCAGGGCAGAAGTGGGCTAGGGGTGGCAGAGAACCCATGGGAAAAAAATAGTGGGTGTTCGGCACCCACCGGCAGCCCCACAGATCAGCTCCTCCCCCTCACTCCCAGCACCTCCCACCCACTGTGGGAGAAGGGGTGGAGTATGGGTGGGAAGAGGTGGGGGTGTGGGGGAAGGGGTGCAGTGGGGGCGGGGCCTGGGGCAGAGCGGGGGTCGAGCACGCCCCGGGAACTGAGGCAGAGGAGACACCCCAGCCAAGACCAGCCCCGCACCTTAAGGCCTTGCCATGCCAAGGGGAGCAGTGCATTCTGGGAATCCTCCCCCTCCCCAGTTGGTCACACCTAGCTCCTAAGTGAGCCCTGCCCTGTGTCTCCACCTGCTCTGCCCGGACACCTGGGTTCTCCGCTGCCGGCCCTGCCCTGACCCTACAGCTCTTGCCCTGATGCCCACCCCAGCCCCCATGCTGGCAGCAACAGGCATTGCCCCCCCCATGCCCTCAGTTCTCCTTTTTGGTGCATCCTCACATATCCTGCTCTGGCCGGGGGCCAAATCCAGGGGCCGGGTGACACTCTGGCGGCCGCTGGGTTCCTGGAAAATAAGCTCAGAGCCAGAGACAAGCAGACGGGGCTGGTGGGCGCTGCGTCCCCAGATAATGGGGCAGGCGGCCACGCCACCCTGGGCCCCACCACCCTGGGCCCTGCACAGCCCCTGTCATGGCTGGACTGGGAACACGGGCAAGGGCGGGGTGGAGGGGTGTAATATTCGATCTCTGCGTGGGGGAGCTGCAAACGTGTGTCAATTGTGACTGTGTGTGTGGTAGAAAACTTTGGCTTTGTGTGTGTGCTGATGCGTTGTGTCTCAGTTGTGACATTGTGTGTGTGTGTGTTTGTGATGAAGTGAGGGATTTTCTTAGAGCTTTGCATGAGCACGGTGTGTGCCTCAGTTTCCCTGTGTGCTGTGTGTGTAAAGGGGAAGGGAAAGGGGGGTTCTTGTTGCAGGGGACCAGGTGTGACGTTGCCTAGCAGTCGGGACCCGGACAATGGCCTGGAGATGGGGGACCCAGCGACTGGTGACTAGGAGGCCCCCCACCTTGGGAGCCAGCCGGTTCTGGCCAGTGGGGGGACAATGGGCTGAGGAGAGAGGGGCAATTTAGCTAGACAAGCAATGTGATCTAGTGAGTAAGGACATAGGGCTGGGAGCCAGGATTCCTGGGTTCTCTCCCTGGCTCTGGGAGGGGAGTGGGGTCTAGTGGTTAGAGCTGGGGGGCTGGGAGCCAGGACTCCTGGGTTCTCTCCCTGGCTCTGGGAGGGGAGGGGAGTCTAGTGGTTAGAACAGGGGGGCCTGGGAACGAGGACGCCTGGGTTCTCTCCCCACCTTTACCACCAACCTATTGTGTGACCTCGGCCAAATCTCTTCCCCTCTTGCTGCCTCGGTTTCCCCTTCCAGCCTTTGCCTATTGAGACTGGGCGCTCTCTGGGCAGGGACTGTCTCTGCAGCGCCTGGCACAACAGGGCCCTGAGCTCAGACCAGATCTCTAGGTGGCACCTTACTGTGAAATATACACCATGAGCTGCTTGCACAGATGGGGAAACCGAGGCGGGGGGATGGCAGTAACATGGCCGGTTTCTCACAGGGAGTCTGCGGCAGAGGCGGGAACAGAACCCAGGAGTCCTTGTCCTTGTCTAAGACAAGGTTATGGTTGGCTGGTTATAATTATGCTGTCTATATGTGTGTAGCAATTTTGTAGTTGAAGTTATGAATATTGGCTCTAAACTGTCTGTATTTCAAACTTATGCTATGCTTCTGGGTGACATCCCAGACAAGTTGGTGTTAGCTCTGCCCAGCCTGCTTGATGGCCCATTAAGGACCATCAGCTACACAATTGACCCATTGAGAGAAGGCAAATACGCCTTGGAGACTAAGGTGCCACAAGTACTCCTGTTCTTTTTGCGGATACAGACTAACAGGGCTGCTACTCTGAAACCTGTCAAATACGCCTTGTAACTCAGCAAAGTATGCAGGGACTGGCCCATGTGACTCCAGACTCCATTTTGCTGTAATTTTCCACAGTAAGGACAAAGAGGTGTTCCTACACCTGGAAAAGACTATAAAAGGCTGATGCCTCGTCTCCATCTTGTCTTCAGTCCTGCTTCTTACCTCTGGAGGGACTTTGCTACAAACGGAAGCTCTACACAGAGGATTGAATGACCCATCCCAGCTGGGGATGTTCCAGAGACTTGATTTGAACCTGCAGTTTATTCCATCACTGCTACAAGCCTGAACCAAGAACTTTGCCATTCCTGTATGTACCTGATTCCATTTAACCAATTCTAGCTCTCATCTGTATCTTTTTCCTTTTATGAATAAACCTTTAGATTTTAGATTCTAAAGGACTGGCAACAGCGTGATTTGTGGGTAAGATCTGAAGTGTCTATTGACCTGGGTCTGGGGCTTGGTCCTATGGGATCAGGAGAACCTTTTTTCTTTTACTGGGGTATTGGTTTTCATAACCATTTGTCCCCATAACGAGTGGCACTGGTGGTGATACTGGGAAAGTAGAGTGTCTAAGGGAATTGCTTGTGTGACTTGTGGTTAGCCAGTGGGTGAGACGAAAATCTTCACTGTCTGGCTGGTTTGGTTTGCCTTAGACGTGGAAAGACCCCAGCCCTGTTTTAGCAATTTGTCCTGAATTGGCACTCTCAGTTGGGTCCCGCCAGAACCGCATCGTTACACAGGGGTCTCTTTCCCAAGGCATAGCGGATGGGCTGGGCTCCGGCCTGGTTGCCACGGGGAGGAAGAAGACCTCTGGTTTCAGATCTGGAAAGGGGAAGCCGAGGCCCCTGCTCTGGGGCCAGGGGAGTTTTTCACCAGAGGATGAAGCAACACGGTTTCCCATCCCACCGGTTGGGG